ATATTTTAGGTCAAGGTTGTGACCAAGCATACCTATTGAATGTGTAATGCCATTTGAAAATGGTGATAGCACCCTTTTTCTAGGCTTCATATCGCATACCACTGCGTGCTGTGCCTCACCCATTGCTTGATGCTGATGACGTTGTCCCTCGTTCCAAGCGCAGGCTTGCGCCCCGTGATAAGCACCAGCATCACCACGCCAAAACTGCAAACCAGGCAACCAGTAAGAACAGCATGTATGAAACGACGCTCATGTGACACCTGTAGCAGCTGTTTTGGTCCACTTCACAACCACTTGCGTCCTGGATTGCCAGCCATGGACGTTGCCAGCCAGTACATCTACGATTGCCAACCAGAAAAGGGTGGAAAACATAATGATAAACATCAGAGCAGGCAAAAAAGCATGTGCCCTATGCCTCTGCCTCATCGCATGCTCGTCGGATGATTATTTCGTCCCAATCTGCTAACTTGTACCAATCTTCTGACCTGCACTAATCTTTCTGACCCGCGCTTATCTTCTGACCTGCACTAATCTTTCTGACCTGCACTAATCTTTCTGACCTGCACTAATATTTCTGACCTGCAACAATCTTCTCACAGAAGGGGGATTTTTAAGAAGTCTCAAAAGTTGCAGAGTGTTTTCCCTTCTTCCAAAAACACCCGGCAATCTTCTAACCTGCTGTGCCAATGAACACACATGTGCACATCGATAGCAGGAGTGGCCTTGTGAGACCCGCAGTAGTCCGGGTCCACATAGGTTGGTATCACACCATTCTTGTAAATTTAATTACAAGCAAATGCCAACTGAAACCGCTCTGCACCGTTTCGTACCTGTGCACACCGGCAGCAGGATAGGCCTTGTGAGAACTGCAGTACTCAGGGTCCACATAGACTGGTGTTCCCATTACTCGAGTGGCTTGCTCTGAAGTGCTTATAGCTGTGCCTCCAAGCAGCTTCACAAGCCCAAAGTCTGCAACTTTTGCCTGCCCACCATCAACCACAACAGCATGACCATGTAACATGGGGAGAGGTGACTCCATGCTAGGCCATTTTAGAACACTTCACATGATAGTTGGATAGCCACGTGGAATGCAGGCGTTTTTTAGACGTCTCAAAAACACTCTCATCCATGCTGGGCCATATAAAACACATCACATGATAGTTGAAAAGGATTAACAAGGGTAGAAAAGCATTTCCTAAGCATCCCCTTCCACATGCAACCTGGCATTGAAATTTCTTGCACGCCTGCATTTGTGCGCCAAGGAGAATGTCGCGACACACAATGTAAAAGTTGTGACTCCCTTGGCCACTCCAATAAGAATGAGCAACCCAAAGCACGTTTGGACATACCTCCATTCTTGCACCAAGGAGAATGTTAGCGGGGTTGATGTCCCGATGCACGATGCCAAAGTCATGCAGATACTGTGAGAAAACGTGAGGAAGAACCATTGAATTCATTAGGAGAGATGGAGGTATACATAGTAGTGCTAGGGGGGGGGGGGGGGGGGGGGGTTTGGTTGGAACCAGGCCAACATTATTGGCCCCCACCAATAAGTTGGGTTGAGGGATTATTGGGGGGACCAATAATGTTGACCAAGTGGTTCAACATTATTGAGGGGACCAATAATTCCCAACACAACCTTGGGGCCAAGGTTGGAGTTCCAACCCCCAACTAGGGTTAGCCCTAGTTCTACACCCAAACTAAGTTTGGGTGGCTATCTCTAGCCTAAGCATATAGGATTGATGTAGGTTACAATGAGGATGGCAATCTAACACAACCCCTTAACCTACAGAAATCCATAAGCTCGGAAAGAGAGAGAGTAACAACCCCTGAGTCAGCCACTACGGGGGAACAAGTCCCTGGAGATGCAGAAGCGCAGAGTGGTCGGAGCGGTGGAGAGCCTTGGTGAAGAGATCGGCGAGGTTGTCACAGGAGGCGATTTTGCGAACGGCGAGGTGACCATCTTGGACAAGGTCGCAAACAAAGTAGTAGCGAAGCTCGATGTGTTTAGAGCGACCATGAAAACTGCTTCCTTGGTGAGGTGGATGGTACTATCGTTATCACACCACAGGGTGGGGCGGGGCTGTGGAGAGCCAAGGTCAGTGAGCAGATAGCTGAGCCAACGTGCTTCTTGAGCCGCCATCGTGACCGCGTACAATTCGGCTTCGTAGGATGAGAGGGCAACAGAGGAGGAGCGGGTGGAGCGCCAACTGATGAGGCCGCCCCCAAGTGTGAAGCCATATCCCTGAGAGCTGCGACGGTCGGGCTGTGCGTCGGCCCAAGATGAGTCGCTAAAGCCTTGAAGAATGGGCGGGTTCACACCACCCAGAGTGAGGACATGGTCCTTCGTGCCTTGAAGGTAGCGAAGAACACGCATGGCCGCCTTCCAATGCTCTTCACCATGCTTGCCGGTGCCAACGAACTGCGCCAGAACACTGACTGGGTATGCAAGGTCGGGACGAGTGCAGACCATGGCGTACATCAGGGCCCCAACAAATATGCGTAGGGATGAGGGGAGGTGACGGGAGTGGTGGGAGGGGCGAGCTGATGCCTGAATGCAAGTGGTGTGGGGATGGGTTTGCAGGTTGTCATGCCAAACCTCTCAAGAATCTTCTCGATGTAAAAAGACTGAGAGAGGGTGATGGTCTTGGCAGTGAGGTCGCGAGTGATCTCCATGCCGAGGTAGTTGCGAACCTCCCCTAGGTCTTTGCAGGCAAGGCGTTTCTGCAGCTCATCCTTGACCTCCTGGAGGTCAGCAGCTGTGTCAGCGGCCAGCAGCATGTCGTTGACGTAGACGAGGATGAAGAAGGGTGATAAGGTGAGGCACAGGAAGAGGCAGGAGGCGGCACGGGAGGGGCGAAAGCCAAGTGCGCTAAGGGTGGTGGAGAGTTTGGCGTGCCATTCCCGAGGTGCTTGTTTGAGCCCGTAGACAGGGCGTAGCAGCTTCCAAACAGTGGTAGGGTCGTGAGGAGCGTGGAAGCCTTTGGTACTTTCAAGGAAAATGAGCTCATGAAGGTCGCCTTGTAGAAAGGCGGTGGTGACGTCCATGGAGTGAAGAAGCATCCCACGTCTGCCAACAAAGTCCAAAAACACGCGAATAACCGGTGGAGTGGCGTTGGGTGAGTAGGTCTCGAAGAAGTCTGAGCCATAGGTCTGTGTGAAGCCTTTTGCCACATATCAAGCCTTGTACACCGGAGCGTCGCCAGTGAGTAGTTTGACTCGAAAAAGCCACCTGCCTTGGACCACGTTGTGCTTTGAGGGACGAGGGACGTCAATAAACGAGCGGTTGCTGATGAAGACGTTGCTCTCTTTGACCATGGCCTCGATCCAGAGAGGTGCATCAAGGCAGGCAAATGCTTGCTCATAGGTGGTGGGTTCGTAGATGGTGGGGGTGGTGGAGAAGAGAAGAACAGTGGTGCCAGCCATTATGCGGACGATGGGGGTGACGGTGGGTGAGAGGAGGTGGAGGAACATTAGCTCATCATGAGAGTCCTCAGTGAGGTCCGGAGTGAGAGGAGGAGGAAGAGGAGGCGGTGAAGTTGCAAGACAGCTGCGCTGGTGGGTTGGGCTGATGCGGGGACACAGCTGCACTGGTGCTCTGCTGCACTGAGGGTCAGGGTGGGGAGACAGCTGCATTGCAGCTCGGCTTCGCTGAGTTGCCGTGAGGGGCAGGGAGACGGGGGTGCGACTGCTGAGAGAACCTGAGGTGCTAGTGCGGGGGGGAGGGGAGGTGCTATGGTGGCGGAGAAGGGGGATGGATGTGAGAGACTGGAGGGAGGGGGGGGTGGACCTAGGGGTACCAAGAATGGGGACCGTGGAGTGGGTGTGAGGGTAGTGGCGGAGTATGAGAGGGGGAGTGGGAAGTAGGGGCCGTGAGGACGGAGGTGGGGTGAGTGGGGGAGGGCGTGGGGAGGGGGGGGGGCGGGGGATGTTCTGCATGGAGGGATGGAGGGGAAGGAGGGGGGGGGAGGGGCAGCGGGTGGGGAGGGAGGGGGAGGGGCAGCGGGTGGGGAGGGAGGGGGAGGGGCAGCGGGTGGGGAGGGAGGGTGGACGGGGTCAAGGATGTCTCCTGACGAGGCGGGGGGAGAGGGGGGAGGGGGTGGGGGTGCAGGGGGGACAATGGTGGGGGGGGGGGGGAGAAGGGAAGGGGAGGGGAGAGGGGGTGGGGGGGGGGAATGGTGTCAGTCCAGAGGAAGGGACGGGTGGTTAGAGGGAGGGGGTTAGAGGCTTTGGGGGAGGTGTAGTACGGGTGGGCTTCATCGAATTCCACATCCCGACTACAAATGAGGCGACTTGAGGGGGGATGAAGGAAGAGATAGTTCGGGGAGGCGGTGTTGTGACCAAGGAAAATGCAGGGGAGAGTGCGGGAGGCTAGCTTTCCAGCTTTGCGTGAGCGGTCGACAGGGTGTATGAGGACATACGCCATGGAACCCCACACGCGCAGGGGGGTGATGTCGGGCTTTTTGGATGTCCAGAGTGCGGTGGGAGTGGTGGTGGGCCGGGAGGGATGAGGGTACAAGTTAGTGTGGATGGCAACGTAGAGGATGGCATAGCCCCAGAGAGAGGGCGGGCAGGAGGCATGGACCATGAGGCACCGAGCAGTTTTAGTGACCTCACGGACCCTACTCTCCGCCACGCCATTCTGCTGAGGGGAATGAGGTAGGGTGTAGGTGTGAATGATGCCACGAGTGGTGCAGTAGGATGAGAGCATGTTGTTAAGGAACTCACCACCGCCATCAGAGTGGAAGCGGGAGACAGGGCGTTTGAAATGGGTGCGTGCTTGTTCAGCCCAAGCAATAGGAGCAGCCGGGGCCTCCACCTTCATGTGAAGGAGGGAGACGGAGGAGTAGCGGCTGTGGTCATCCACCAGGATGAGCAGGTATTTATTACCTTGTCTGTTGGGGGGAGGGTTGGGGCCCCAGAGGTCCATGTGGACGAGATCAAGAGGCTGGGGAGAAAAGGAGGGACGACTCTTGTGGGGGGCCTGTTTCAGTTTGCTTTCAACGCATACTGAGCAGGGAGGGGAGGGTGATGGGGGGAGAGGGGGAAGGGTGAGGGGGAGCCCGTCGAGGAGTTGGGTGGAGACACTTTGACGGAGGGTGGAAAAGTTGGGATGACCCAACCTATGGTGAAGGAGAACTGCGGGGTGGGTGAGGTCACGACAGTGGCAGGAGGAGGTGGGGGAGGGGGGGGGGGGAGGGGAGGGGAGGGGAGGGGAGGGAGGGGGAGGGGATGGGGGGGGGGATGGGAGGTGGGGAGGGAAGGGGGAGCGGAGGTGAGGGGAGAGGAAGGGGTGAGGTGGGGGCGATGAGGTGGTGAATGGAGGTGCGAGGGGTGCGGTACATGTACAGGTTTGTGCGAGGGCAGAGGGGAATGCGACAGATGAAGCGACCAGTGGTGGTTTGAAAGAGGTCGCAGTGGCGTGCATGGCCGGGGCAGAGGGCGGTGATATTGAACCTGGTGAGGTCACACAGTGCTACCAGATTGTTGCGTAGGGAGGGGATGTATAGACCTGTGACTGTACCTGAGGGGAAGATGGGACAGGGGAGGGTGGAGGTGTGACTACTTATGATGGTGAAGCTGGAGTCAGCTCCGTGGATAGTGGAGGGAGTGGGGAGGGGTACTAGTGTGCCTGCATCACGCAGAACAGTGTGTGTCGCGCCACTGTCAAGGATAAACTCAAGGCACGAAGAGAAGGGAAAGGCGGAGTACTGCAAGAGAGACTCATTAATAGCATGTGCATACATAGAATCAGCAGGAGGAGTGCTAACATGTCCTATGAATCCAGCAGAGGGGAACGGAGTAAAGCCAGGAGGGTTGGAGGAGGAGGATGGTGGTTCAACAAGAGTAGCAGCAGGTCCAATAGGTGCATGACCATATCCAGGAGGTGGGTAAGGAGGGTAAGGCCAGCCAGCATAGGGTGGAGGGTAGTGAGGGGGAGGGGCTTGAGGCGGAGGTGTGGATGGGGGAGGAGTGGGAGTGGTGGGAGTGGAGGGAGAAGATGCTGAACTTGTTGAAGGATGTGAGATGGGAGATGCTGAGTGAGGACATTGTGAAGGTTGGGAGTAGAGGGTTGATATGCGAGGAGGGTGCGGATGTCATGAATGGAGGGGCGTGGGAAAACAGTGTTCCAGCGACGTGGAGTGCCAACGTTGCCACATGCAAACCACTCGTTAGTGAGGGCTTTGAAGCACGTGTCCGTGGTGTGAGTGGTCTGAGAGCATGGCTGACCTTTGTTGGAGCCATAGCGAATGATGTACTGACACGGGGGGAGATTGCTTGAAGGTGAGGCATATCCGCCGCGTCCGCCACGGCCGCCACCGCGACCACCACCGCGTCCTCCGCCTCGGCCGCCGCCACGTCCACCACCACCACTACCGGCGCCGCCTGGGCCGCCACCTGGTCCGCTGTTGTGGTTGCCTGTGGTAGCTTTGCGTGTCTGGACAGCATTGACGGTGGCGGAGTGACGTTGAATGTCCGCTTCGCTATCAAGGAGCCACTCGATGGTGTCAGCCACAGGAGGAGGATGACGGTAGCGAGAAGTGAAGGTGATCCGGTAGGTGTCATATGTGGGAGGGAGGCAGTCGAGGATGTGTGCAGTAAGAAGGGACTCAGAGATGACAATGCTCCGGTCATTGAGGCGTTGCGCAGTGTCAATGAGGCGACGGGTGTAGGCAACAGCAGTGGGGGAGGAGTCAAGGGTGATGTCTTGGAATTTGCGAAAGAGGGCGAGGAGGGAGCGAAGGTCCTGACAGCCGTACTGAGTAGAGAGGGTTTTCCATAGTCCAGAGGAGGAGGTGGGACGAAGGTCGTGTTTGAGGTGGGAGGGGATACAGGAGAAGATGCTGGCGAGTGCACGACGATCAGTGATGCGCCATGCTGCAACATCCTTGTGGATCTTTCGAAGCTCCTCAGCATAGTCTTTTTCGTCTTGAGCGTAGAAGAGGAGGCGTGCAGTAGCATTAGCGTGTGCTGCTTCCGCAACACGGTGCGCCTCACGCTGGAGGGTGTAAGTGTCGCGAAGCATGTTGTAGGCGTTCAGGTTGGCCCCCCAGCGATCCGGGTTGTCATCATGAACTGGGGCACGCGGGGGGTCGGGAAGAGGCTCGGGTGGAGGAGGGGCGTCAGGGGGAGGAGGTTCAAGGGGAGGGGGGAGTAAAGGTGGGAGGCCATTAGGGTGCTGGAGGACTACATCAAGAAGGCAATAGACTTGAATAATGATGGAGCCAAGGTGTGTGTGAAACGTATCTTCAAACGACGCCCAGTTTACGGCCGTGGTGTCGTGGAGAAGTTCGAGCTTGTCAATGGCTCCGAGCTCAATGGAAGTGGAGTCGTCCGCCATGAGGAGGAGGAGGGGAGGGGGTGACGACACCGGCTTGAGGGCGAGTGCGGTCAAAGAGGACGACACCACGTGGAAGGGTGGTGCGGCCACGTTACTTGTGGTGCGCGTGCGTCCGCGGATGCGCCTCGTCGCCCGCGGGTGCGCGTGCGTCCGCGGATGCGCCTCGTCGCCCGCGGGTGCGCGTGCGTCCGCGGATGCGCCTCGTCGCCCGCGGGTGCGCGTGCGTCCGCGGATGCGCCTCGTCGCCCGCGGGTGCGCGTGCGTCCGCGGATGCGCCTCGTCGCCCGCGGGTGCGCGTGCGTCCGCGGATGCGCCTCGTCGCCCGCGGGTGCGCGTGCGTCCGCGGATGCGCCTCGTCGCCCGCGGGTGCGCGTGCGTCCGCGGATGCGCCTCGTCGCCCGCGGGTGCGCGTGCGTCCGCGGATGCGCCTCGTCGCCCGCGGGTGCGCGTGCGTCCGCGGATGCGCCTCGTCGCCCGCGGGTGCGCGTGCGTCCGCGGATGCGCCTCGTCGCCCGCGGGTGCGCGTGCGTCCGCGGATGCGCCTCGTCGCCCGCGGGTGCGCGTGCGTCCGCGGATGCGCCTCGTCGCCCGCGGGTGCGCGTGCGTCCGCGGATGCGCCTCGTCGCCCGCGGGTGCGCGTGCGTCCGCGGATGCGCCTCGTCGCCCGCGGGTGCGCGTGCGTCCGCGGATGCGCCTCGTCGCCCGCGGGTGCGCGTGCGTCCGCGGATGCGCCTCGTCGCCCGCTGGGTGCGCGTGCGTCCGCGGATGCGCCTCGTCGCCCGCGGGTGCGCGTGCGTCCGCGGATGCGCCTCGTCGCCCCGGGTGCGCGTGCCGCGAGATGCCTCGTCCCCGCGGGTGCGCGGGCTCCGCGGATGCGCACTCGTCGCCCGCGGGTGCGCGTGCGTCCGCGGATGCGCCTCGTCGCCCGCGGGGTGCGCGTGCGTCCGCGGATGCGCCTCGTCGCCCGCGGCGTGCGCGTGCGTCCGCGGATGCGCCTCGTCGCCCGCGGGTGCGCGTGCGTCCGCGGATGCGCCTCGTCGCCCGCGGGTGCGCGTGCGTCCGCGGATGCGCCTCGTCGCCCGCGGGTTGCGCGTCCGTCCGCGGGATGCGCCTCGTCGCCCGCGGGTGCGCGTCCGTCCGCGGATGCGCCTCGTCGCCCGCGGGTGCGCGTCCGTCCGCGGATGCGCCTCGTCGCCCGCGGAGGTGCGCGTCCGTCCGCGGATGCGCCTCGTCGCCCGCGGGTGCGCGTCCGTCCGCGGATGCGCCTCGTCGCCCGGCGGGTGCGCGTCCGTCCGCGGATGCGCCTCGTCGCCCGCGGGTGCGCGTCCGTCCGCGGATGCGCCTCGTCGCCCGCGGGTGCGCGTCCGTCCGCGGATGCGCCTCGTCGCCCGCGGGTGCGCGTCCGTCCGCGGATGCGCCTCGTCGCCCGCGGGTGCGCGTCCGTCCGCGGATGCGCCTCGTCGCCCGCGGGTGCGCGTCCGTCCGCGGATGCGCCTCGTCGCCCGCGGGTGCGCGTCCGTCCGCGGATGCGCCTCGTCGCCCGCGGGTGCGCGTCCGTCCGCGGATGCGCCTCGTCGCCCGCGGGTGCGCGTCCGTCCGCGGATGCGCCTCGTCGCCCCGGGTGCGCGTCCGTCCGCGGATGCGCCTCGTCGCCCGCGGGTGCGCGTCCGTCCGTCGTCGCTGTTATAGTCACAGTAGGCTCCAATGTGCCTAAAACGAAAGACAGAGTGCATAGTCGGATTTCTGCAATGTGCCTAAAACGAAAGATACAGTGCATAGTCGGATTTCTGCACAACGGCTTCAAACGTTCATAGCGATCTGCTTACAACTCCAAATGACTTTATTCAACTTGGATCTGGAGCGCTTTGATGTCGCCTACAACATGCAATTTAAATCGCACGCTTTCATTAAGAACTGACGATACAGCGTCGGTTTGAACGAACGGCACTATGGCAGCAACATAGTCTTAGAACACAAGATAGGAAGGGTTAGGAAGAGTTACGAGTTGGGAATGACTCCCAGCTCCTACAAACCCCAAGAGCTGAGGTACAGTGATGTGGAACAGTGCCACACTATCCCCAACCACAAAGGGTCTCGAAACTACCCTTCACTAGGGCCTACACCAAGTGAAATGTTACACTACACAAAGTAATGTAACTATCTTCAATATCTTGAGGTGCACCCTATTGGCGAGTTTCGAAATCACTCGAGGCTTGACACAAAGGCTCGGGCTCTTCATCACAAACTCATCCTGGATTTCTTGATGGGTCTTCTGCACACACCTGCGACACGCCGAACGTTCGACACAGGACAAAATAGAAACCGCGCGCGAGACACAAACGACCGCGTAACACGCGTCTAGCGATATCTCGCTATTGACTCGACACACACACTCGACATCATGACTCAACATTCACACAATTATAAGCATGAAATATATATTATCCCATGCCCTCATACCATTCCATACACACACACATGCACGCACACGGAGAACAACCCGAGTGCAAACCGTAGGGTTGCACCAACAGTCGCCCGTGGGTGCGCGTCCGTCCGCGGATGCGCCCCGTCGCCCGCGGGTGCGCGTCCGTCCGCGGAAGTCGCCGTGGTGATCGCGTCCGCCTTTGTTGGCGGAATCCGCCGTGGTGGTCGCGTCTGCCCTCGTCGGCGGAATCTGCCGCGGTGGTCGCGTCCGCCTTCGTCGGCGGGATGCGCCGCGGTGAGGTAGGGGAAGGGAGGGGGGAGGAAGCGGGCTGCATGACGTAACTTGTGCGGGAGAGGCACGGGAGAGTGCGTGAGTACGAGGGGGGAGGGGGCCCTGAAGGTGTAATAGCGCAACTTAGGCGCGATGAGCGGCAAAGAGCCGTGGGAGAGAGGTGGGCGTGATACGGCACGCTTTAGGTGTGGTCCTTTTGATCGAGAGACGGTGTTAACCGTTGTAGCTCTGATTACCATGTGAGAAAACGTGAGGAAGAACCATTGAATTCATTAGGAGAGATGGAGGTATACATAGTAGCGCTAGGGAGGTGAGGTTTGGTTGGAACCAAGCCAAAATTATTGGCCCCCACCAATAAGTTGGGTTGAGGGATTATTGGGGGGACCAATAATGTTGACCAAGTGGTTCAACATTATTGAGGGGACCAATAATTCCCAACCCAACCTTGGGGCCAAGGTTGGAGTTCCAACCCCCAACTAGGGTTAGCCCTAGTTCTACACCCAAACTAAGTTTGGGTGGCTATCTCTAGCCTAAGCTTATAGGATTGATGTAGGTTACAATGAGGATGGCAATCTGATAGATACTGCAACCTCTTGGCCACTCCAATCATAATATCAAGCCGTTGCCGCAGAGAAAGAGGGTTGGAGACACCAGGGCCGATCCTGTTGTCAAGGTCGCCGTTGGGCATGAGCTCATAGACAAGAAGGTGCTCCATGGTTCGTGTGGACGGGTCAAAGTCAATGCAATAGCCCAACAGACGCACGAGATGCGGATGGCTCTTGCTTGCCATCTCTTTCACCTGGAAGAACACGAGATGAAGCATGGAGAGAGATGTGAATACTGAGAATGCGATTCGTTCACATTGAATTCAGTGCAGTAGCCCAACAGACGCGACGCACGAGATGCGGATGGCTCTTGCTTGCCACCTCTTTCACCGAAGGGTAAAAATAGTACACATATTGGTAGCGAGATTATGAAGTAATGGAGGGAGACACAGGCTAAGGAAGCCCCAAAAGTAAACTCACCAGATGAGAGTAAAATGGGCACAGGATTGAGGAGATATAGGGACTGAGAAGATAGAGGGAACCCTTCCTGCAAGGGCGCCACTGATTCTTAACAACAAAATTGTGTGACTGGGGTCAATTTTGCTTGTCGCCCCGTGTCACCGCAACCCCAAAAACCTAAACCGAGTCAGGTGACTCCTGACTCATCCTTGACTGCATGTTGAATCGTTGATGCATTAACCCTAACATACCGAGTCAGTTGAGTAGGAGAATCCGATCAAGACTTGACTTCTCTGCAACAGCCATAGCGCTGATGCACCTCACTGTCTAGTTCTGGTGGCTTCATAGTGTGCAATAGCCGTGGAGCACCCTATACCTGAAGTTGCAGGAACCACTGTGACACAAATCAATTGCACCATGGCTCGTTTCAGAGGCAAGCCGATCACAAAACCAGGCTCACTGCAGCTTATCTGATTCCAATGGCTACAGCCGGTGCTAGAGCCTACGCTAGAGACACAGCCTACACTGCAACTGCAGCTGCCTTGCCGTGGGACCACCCTATGGGTCCGTGCGTCAGGAGCGCGGCCGGTCCCCGCAGCGCCAGCTTCCTCGGCGCGGGCACCGTTGTCAGTGGGAGGATGATCAGCGGTCCCCAGTGCGTCATGATCTCCACCACCCATTTCCTCACCGGCGGCCGCCTGACCGTGCGCCTCTGGAAAGGCGCTCGCCGCGGGCGAGGTCGCCTGCGCATCCGACGCCACGTCATTCGCCGGCGCTTCGGGACCATGATTCTCCATGACACTGCTGGGAGGGGGGCCGCCAGGAAACGAGTCCACGTCCTCAGTCAGCAAGCTCTGGGGGCCGTCGAGGGCGGCGGAATGGCTCGGGGCGTGGTGGGGCTGAGCGCAGCCAGTACATTGCTGTGGACTGCATGGTGAGAGTAGTGTTTTCAGTTCAGAAGCAACTCAAGCACTACACCGGGCGCACAGCCCACACTATACCCAAACCCAGTGGCTTCAGTCCGAGCTTCCGCCATAGGTAGTCCGTGCTACAGCCATAGGCACAGTTCAGAAGCATTCCAAGCACTACACCGGGCTAACTGCCCACACTCTACATGAACCCAGTGGCTTCTGAAGTTGTGCAACAGGCACAGCCTGCCATGTGCCTGCACGTGCCACCATACCCGGATCTCGTCGATTTTGGGGTTGGGCTCAAATGTGAAGATGGGTGGCGGGTTGGTGGTGTTGTTTTTCCACTGGGACAGCGTGCGCTCCTCCATCTGGGGGAGGCAGGGGGGGAGAGGGGGTGCACGTACGCATGGTGGGGGACACATGAGCATTGATTTTGAGCCACCAGCGTGACGATGTAGCCGTTGTTCTACAGGAACACTGTGCGCTCCGCCACCTGGGGGAGGAAGGGGAATGGGGTGGAGAAGGGGAAGGGTGGGGGTGAGGCGGGGGGGTCTATATATGGGGCATGGATCTGACATGCAATGTATGGGCCACAGAGGTCTCAATTCTGCACCAAAGGCGTCACGATGCGGTCGTTGTTCCACGGAAGAACTCCGCCACCTGTATGCTCCATGATGTGGTGTGGGGCATGATGTATGGGGCATGACATATGGGGTATGCTGTATGGGGTGGGGAATGACATATGGGGCATGATGTATGGGGACATATGGGGCATGATGTATGGGGACATATGGGGCATGATGTATGGGGCATGACATATGGGACATGATGTATGGGGCATGACATATGGGGCATGACGTATGAGGCATGACATATAGGGCGTGCACCAGCGACTTGGGTGTCTGTGGTGAACTGTACCTAGCGCGCGCAATGGTGTGCGGTGCCTATGCCTGCTGTGCTGGACGCGATGTGCCATTTCGATAAAAGAAAGCGAATCGTACAGCCCGACATCATCATCTGAAACACATTTCATTGGTCAGACACAAAATCTTAGATATGCGAGTGCATGCGACTCTCCATGCCATTCGCACGAAGATGCATCGTCTTGACCAGATGCAGAATAGCGTAACAAACCCAGGCAGCACGAAATAACAATTCAGTCAACACATTTTTGTAGTCTATATTCGTTATACTCATAGTAAAATGAAAGGTTCATGCTACAAAAAAAAAACAAGAAACCACAAACAAACAATCAAACAAGAAAATCAAATTAAAAAAATCAATGGGTAATCAAACCAAATGTTACGGGTCCAATGTACAAATCAGCGAGGACTGCACTATGTGGGCAAAAGATACAAAATATGAGCGAATGCATTAGCGAATACTCATGTGCGAAAACATGCAACGGTTACGCGATGTGTGCGTGCTAGCTAATGCTATGCTGGCATTGACAAACAGACAAACAACAACAACAACAACAACAACAACAACAACAACAACAACAACAACAACAACAACAACAACAACAACAACAACAACAGCAGCAACAGTGCAGCAACAACAATAGCAACAACAGCAACGATACCAGCAATAATGACTACTACAACAACAACAACAACAGCGTAGCAACAACAGCAATGACACTAGCAACAACGACAATACCCACCACTGCAAGACCGCCAGCACCAGACAGCACCAGCAACAATAACAACAACGACGACAACAGCACACCAGCAACTATAGCAACAACAACAGCAACAACAACAACAACAACAACAACAACAACAACAACAACAACAACAACAACAACAACAACAACAACAACAACAACAACAACAACAACAACAGCAGCAGCAGCAGCAACAACAACAGCAACAACAGTAGCAACAGCGCAGCAACAACAGCAACGATACCAACAACAACGACGACAACAACAACAACAACAACAACAGCGCAGCAACAACAGCAATGAGACTAGCAACAACCACGATACCCACCACTGCAACACCGCCAGGACCAGACAGCACCAGCAACAATAACAACAACAACGACAGCAGCACAGAAGCAACCATAGCAACAACAACAACAACAACAACAACAACAACAACAACAACAACAACAACAACAACAACAATAACAACAACAACAACAACAACAAGAACAACAAGAACAACAACAACAACAACAAGAACAACAACAACAACAACAACGCATGCAACAATAAACAACAACGACGACAACAACGACGGCAGCGACGACGGCAAGAACGATGACAACGGCGACGACAATCATGTCGATGACGACGGGGACGACTACCACCACCACCACCGCCACAAGAACAACCACAACGACAATGCAATAGGGACGACGACGATAGCAATGACGACAACAAGGACGACAACAACAAACGCGACAACAGCAGAATCGACGACGATGATGACGACGACGACGACAACTACAACAATGATGACGACGACGACGACGACTACTAGACGACAGCAACAGCCAAGACAGCGACGACATCTATAATTTGGCTATGTACACGTAGATTACAGAGTCCACTACAATAATACATACAGGAACGCGTTATTCACGTTGATTTGTCGGAGGTATGACGACTCATGGGTGCGAATGTTTGATCCAAATCGATTTCGTGACATTGCTCGTTCTTTATTAGCCGACTTCAACACAACAGCCTGCACAACATCAATTCTTTTTAGAAATTATTGTCGATACTTCGCTGATACCATATGTCGATTGGACTTTTGAACCACTTGGTTGTAAACAAATTTAGACATTAACTAACACACGTATGTTGAATAGTAGGAGTAGGGCCTAGGCTTAGTAGCCTAGGCCAAAGGGAGTCGAGAGAGTTTAGCAAGAAGAAGTGAGAGTTTCACTATAGCAAACAAGGAACATATAGGCAAGAGAACAAGAACAAGAGGTGCACCACCAACAGTTTAAAATAACTACACTAAACTACAGCTACAGGCAGTTACATATATATTCTAACACTCCCCCATAACTGCCTGCAGCAGGAGTTTGTGCATAACACAACCTGCAGGGGTACACAAACAACAGCAACAGCAGGCACGGTAGCAGAGCACGTACAGCAGCAAAGGGACAGGCGAAAGCAAGACACTCCTGCCACCCCCTTACTCTCCTCCCTCCCCGACCACAGGAGGGGCAGCAGGGAGAGAGAGGAGGCGAGCTGGCTCTGGCTGGTCACCCCCTCCATCCCCTCACCCTCCCCCTCCCCCTCCCCCCCACACTGCTACAGGAGCAGCAGAGGGGGGAAGAGAGGAGAGGTGGCGGGACGGCTGCTGGTTGGTCTCACACCCGCCACCCCAGTGTCGCTCCCCCGGCTCCCCCACACCCTCACACCCTCCCCCCCAGCGGCAGCTGCAGCAGTGGGAACAAAAGGAGGAGGAGGGGAAGGGAAGCACACCACCCATCACTCCCACACCCGCCACCCCCATACCCTCCCCCCCACGGCTGCAGGGAGACGAAGGAGGAGGGGGGGGGCGGGGAGAAAGCCGTAGAGCGGCTATAGAGGGTCGGCGCGGGTAGGGCAGGGGCGGCTGCAGCGAGTGCACACGCGGGGTGAGGCAGAGGCGGCTGCACCGAGTGCAGGAGCGGGGGCGGCTGCTCCAAGGGCAGGCGATGGGTGGTGCAGGGGCGGCTGCACCGAGTGCAGGCGCGGGTGAGGCAGGGGTACCGTCGCGAGCGAAAGGGGCGGGTCCGCGGCAGCTCAGGACACCGCAGCGGGCGCCAGGGGCGGGTCCACGGCGGCTCAGGGCACCGCCGCGGGCGCCAGGGGCGGGTCCGCAGCGGCTCAGGGCACCGCCGCGGGCGCCAAGGGCGGGTCCACGACGGCTCAAGGCACCGCCGCGGGCGCCAAGGGCGGGTCCGCGGCGGCTCAGGACACCGCCACGGGCGCCAGGGGCGGGTCCGAGGCGGCTCAGGGCACCGTCGCGCACCACGTGGCACGTGACGGGCAGTTCACCCGGGATAGAGCACGCCGGACCATTACCCTGACTCAGTCACACATGGTGCAGCAGGTCCTTCAGCGCTTCGACTTCACGTACTTCTCGCCTCAGGCCACTCCTCTGTCTACTCGCCACTCGCTCTCAGCTCTGCCTTCGGATGAGTCCGTAGAGTCGAGTGGCTCGTACCCAAAGCTTGTTGGCTGCCTCATGTACCTGATGACCTGCACTCGACCTGACCTTGCATACCCTCTTAGCATCTTGGCACGCTATGTTGCTCCTGGGAGACACCGACCAGAGCACATGGCTGCAGCGAAGAGGGTGTTGCGCTACTTGTGCAGTACGTCGGGCATGGGGCTAGTGATTGGAGGGCAACGTCCAGTGGTCCTCACTGGTCACGCAGACGCTTCTTGGGCTGACGACTAGGCTACGCAGCGGTCGTCACACGGTTAAACCTTCAGCCTTGGTTCCGGCTCTATCTCGTGGCGGTCTACCTGCTCGTCTTTGTCAAACATTATATATATATGTTGTGTTAGTTTAGGCTACAGTGGGTTAGCCTATAGGGGGTACACAATTCTAGGGTAAGGTACTTGTACTGTTTTCACTGCTAGTTCATTCATTCCTGTTCAGTTATTCCAACATGGTATAGAGCAGGTCCTTCCTAGGACCGAAATTTTCTAAGGGCCCACCACTACGTAACTACCTACCTACCTACCTACTTGTACCCTAGGGCGCCTCGGCGTGTCACGCCCCTAGAGGCCCCTCTTGACGGCCCCGCGCTAGCCCCGTTCAGGCCCCGTCGGCCCGCGCTAGCCCCGTTTCAGGCCCCGTCGGCCCCGTTTCAGGCCCCGTAGGCCCGCGCTAGCCCCGTTTCAGGCCTCGTCGGCCCCGTTTCAGGCCCCGTCGGCCCCGTTTCAGGCCCCGTAGGCCCGCGCTAGCCCCGTTTCAGGCCCCGTCGGCCCCGTTTCAGGCCCCGTCGGCCCGCGCTAGCCTCGTTTCAGGCCCCGTCGGCCCCGTTTCAGGCCCCGTCGGCCCCGAGCTAGCCCCATTCAGGGCCCGATCGGCCCCACGCTAGCCCCGTTCAGGCCCCGTCGGCCCCGCGCTAGCCCCTCTCAGGCCCCGTCGGCCCGCGCTAGCCCAGTTTCAGGCCCCGTTGGCCCCGTTTCAGGCCCCGTCGGCCTCGCTGCTAACCCCGTCACGGCCTCGTTTGGCCCCGCGCTAGCCCCGCTCAGGCCCCGTCGGCCCCGTCTCAGGCCCCGTCGGCCCCGCGCCAGCCCCGCTCAGGCTCTGATCGGCCCCGCGCTCGCCCCTCTAGGGCCCCAACCGGCCCCACGCCGACCTTGCCGACCGTGCCCACCACCTGGAGGCCCTGGGCGGCCCGTTCCCGCCGTGACCCGAGCCGCGCGCCCCGAGCCGAGCCACGCGCCCCGAGCCGAGCCGCGCGCCCTGAGCCGAGCCGCGCCACCCAGCCGAGCCGCGCCCCGACCTGAACCGAGGCGCGCCGCCCTGCCCTACCTGGTTCATCCTACCTGCTTCTCCTACTGCTACTGCTGCTTTTTCTACTGTTCCTATGGCTAGCCCGCAGGTTCTCGTGTTCGATGCTGAGGGCCGCCCTGTGAAGTTTGACACCTGGCTCGATGACCTACACCTCTACCTATAGCTCACAGCCAAGGATGACATCTCACTGTACGATCACGCCCTAGGCCATGTCACTGCCCATGCTGCTACTGCTGACAGCACTGCTCGCTCACAGTGGCAGACTCGTGATGCCCACGCTCGCTTCGCTATTCGCAACTCCCTGCCAATAGACGAACGCGAGCACTTTGGGCAGCACAAGACTGCACAGGCACTGTACACAGCCGTAGTTGCTCGCTACTCCTCACCTGCCTCTGCCGCGCTAGGCCGTCTCTCCCTCCCCTACCTATTTCCCGACCTGTCCTCCTTTCACACAATTGCTGACCTCATCACGCACCTCCGTACTAGTGAGGCCCGCTTCCGTGCCGCCATGCCTGCTGAGTTCCTTGCCACGCACCCCCCTCCACTCTGGCTCACTCTCTACCACCTAGTCACCCGCCTCCCTGACACACTGCGTGCTGTCAGGGACCACTTCCTAGCTCGTTGCCCCACTGAGCTCACCATTGCCCTCCTCGAGAAGGAGCTACTTGCAACTGAGACTAGCATAGTCGCTGTAGGTGCCTCTCGTGGCAACCCCCGTACCCCGTTCTTTGAGGGGTGTTCTCCTTCCCCCCTTCTTCCCTCTGTCGCCTCTGCTGCTGCTGTCGACCTTCTCGGTGCTGAGAAGGTCGGCGCTGCGTCTGCCTCGAGCGGGCGCCGCAGCGGCAAGGGCAAAGGGGGCAAGGGTGGTGGCGGTGACGGCGGGGGAGGCGGCGGTGGGGGCGGTGGAGGCAGTGGGGGTGGTGGCTCGGCTGGAGGGGCAAGTGGTAGCAGTGGGGGTGGTGGCGGCAGCGGCGGGGGCGGTGGCAGGAGTGGAGGCGGCGGTTGGGGTGGCGGTGGACGAGGCGGCGGCAGGGGTTGGGGTGGTCGAGGAGGTGGCAGCGGTGGTGGTGGCCGTGGAGGCGCTGGCGGTGGCCAGGGCCAGCAGCACACTCCGTCGCCCCAGGAGGTCCGTGAGTGGTACTCTCAGCACGGGGGTGGGGGTGGTCTTAGCTGCACGTACGTCATTCGCACTGGTGACCGCACTGGTCAGCAGTGTGGACGACAGCACGCCACACAGCGCTGCTTCTCTCGTCTCGACGACGCTTGGCGTGTTCAGTTCCCTCAGGCCACTAAGCTGCCCCGCTGGCTTGATCTCCTGAAGAAGGGGATTGATATCTATGCTCTAGACTTTGATGCTATTCTATCTGCCATGTATGTGATGTCTACTAGTGGAGAGGGTGCTGAGTACTTGTGTGTGCCGCCCGACCCGGGCATTAGGGCCAGTGCGTCTGCCGCTTCAGGTACTCGCGTGTCGGCTACCCCAGGTGGTGGTGAGGCTGCTGCTTTAGGTGCTCGTGTGTCTCCCCCCCTTGGTACTGCGTCGACTACCGCACTGCACACCTTCACACTGGACTCAGGTGCTTCTCGCTGCTTCTTTCGTGACCGCACTGCCCTTGAGCCGCTTGCTCGGCCAGTTGCTGTCTCCCTTGCTGACCCCTCTGGGGGTCCGGTCATTGCGACCTCTTCCACTTTCCTTCCCTGCCCTGCGGTCCCGTCGGGCACACTGTCAGGTCTCCACCTCCCCTCGTTCTCTACGAACTTGGTGGCAGGATGTGCGCTCCAGGACGGGGGTGTTCACCAGTTCACCCCTGCCTACGAGCGCGTGACACACTGCACGTGTGCTCGTACGGGCCGTCACTTGGCTACCTTCACTCGGCAGCCGGGGTCGGACCTGTACACACTGACTACTGAGTCCCCTCAGGTTGCTGCGTCTGCGTCCGCGTCCGCGTCAGGTCACCTGTCCGCCCCCTGCTCGTGTCGCTCTTTGGCACACGAGACTGTCCTCTGGCACCACCGCCTTGGCCACCCGTCTGTGCAGCGGCTTCGTGCCATGCACTCCCGGTACCTTGTCTCTGGCCTGCCCAGAGTCCTTCCTGCCCTCCCACCCTTGCCTGCTCCTACATGTCTCCTCTGTGTCGAGGGCCGGCAGCGCGCCGCTCCTCCCTCCTCCTCGTTCCCCCCGACGACTGCTCCCTTGCAGACGCTCCACATGGACGTGTGGGGCCCAGCCCGCGTCCGTGGTCAGGGTCAGGAGAGGTACTTCCTGATAGTTGTTGACGACTACTCGCGCTACACCTCGGTCTTCCCCTTGCGCACCAAGGGTGAGGTCCCTGATGTGTTGATCCCTTGGATCCGCAGAGCCCGTCTCCAGCTCAGCGAGCGGTTTCACTCGGACTTTCCTGTCCTACGCTTGCACTCTGACAGAGGTGGTGAGTTCTCCTCCGACCTCTTGGCAGCCTACTGTGCTGAGCACGGCATTGAGCAGTCGTTCTCGCTTCCGGCTTCTCCACAGCAGAATGGGGTTGCGGAGCACCGCATTGGCCTGGTCATGGAGGTCGCCCGTACCTCCTTGATCCATGCGGCTGCCCCCCACTTTCTGTGGCCGTTTGCAGTCCGGTACGCTGCGCATCAGCTCAACCTCTGGCCCCGTGTCTCCTTGCCGGAGACCTCGCCCACGCTGCTGTGGACGGGGGAGGTTGGCGATGCGTCGCGTTTCCGGGTCTGGGGGTCTCGAGCTTTTGTCCGCGATACGTCTGCGGACAAGCTCTCCTCCCGTGCTGTTCCCTGCGTCTTCCTCGGCTTTGTCCCGGACGCGTCTGGTTGGCAGTTTTACCACGCCACCTCGCGACGAGTCTTGCCCTCCCAGGACGTCACTTCTGACGAGTCCGTCCCCTACTACCGCCTCTTCCCCTACCGCACTGCCCCGCTCCCCCCCCCCCGCCTCTCTTCCTCGCGCCAGGTGCTGCTGTTACAAACCCCCTCCCCCCTCAGGGTGCCGCTCCCTCAGGTGTGTCTCAGGTAGACCCGGTTGAGCCTGTTGAGGTAGCTGTCGACTCTTGTCCTGCTGGGGGTGCTGAGCCTGGGGGTGCTGAGCCTGGCGGTGTGGAGCCTGGGGGTGTGGAGCCTGGGGGTGTCGAGCCTGGGGGTGTGGAGCTTAGGGGTGCTGAGCTTGGGGGTGTGGAGCCTCGTGGTGCTGAGCTGCAGAGTCCGGAGTCTGGGGGTTCTGGGTCTGGAGGTCCTGGGCCTGGGAGTCCTGCACCTGGAGGAGCCCTCTCCTCGGAGCAGCTGCGTGCGTGGTACTTAGAGTAATGCAGCCTCCGGAGAGGTACCGCTCGAGCCGGACGTCCTACTGGGACTGGTGCTAGTGCTTCTTCTCCCGTTCGGGAGCTCCCCTCCCGCGAGCAGATCCGTGAGTGGTACGAGCGGCGCTGCACTCTTCGGAGTGGCGTGCCTCGTGTTGCGGACCCCGCTGCTATTGGAGCTGCTGCTGGTGCTGCGGACCCGGGCGTTGGAGCTGCTGCTGGTGCTGAGGACCCGGGCGTTGGAGCTGCCGCTGGTGCTACGGACCCAGGTGTTGGAGCTGCTGCTGGTGCTGAGGACCCGGGCGTTGGAGCTGCCGCTGGTGCTGCGGACCCGGGCGTTGGAGCTGCTGCTGGTGCTGCGGACCCGGGCGTTGGAGCTGTTGCTGGTACTGAGGACCCGGGCGTTGGAGCTGCCGCTGGTGCTGCGGACCCGGGCGTTGGAGCTGCTGCTGGTGCTGCGG